GTTCGTGGCTGTCGCGCTGCGCAGTCTGACGTCTACGGTGATGCCTGTGCCCCCTTCAGCTGCCATTCACCGAGAATGCCCCACTCGCCGGACCTTCCTCTCTCGCTGAGACGGCTACAACGCCCTCGGGAAACACAAGCGATGCCAGGACGACCTTCCCAATCGGCGTCTTTTCCCACGGGCTCGGCGGCACTCGAACAACATACAGGTAGGCGTCTTGTGCCTCAAAGCAATGTGTGACATCGAATGGCTCAAGCGCAACGTGCACAAACAATCCACAGCTCCTACCTCTCAGCACTGGCAAGCGAGGGCTTCGTTGTCGCCGCAGTGGAGCACAGAGACCTCACAGCACCTTCGACACAGGTCTTCCCTCCAGCCGAGACCTTTCTGGGAGCTAAGCAGCAAAGCTATACCAGTATCTATAGCAAGCACGATGAGATGGAGTGAGTGGATGCAAGGAGCGAATCGACACTTTCTAGCGCTGATACAGAGAGCTGCACGACTCCCCGACAAATTTCTCCATCTGCCAGCAAGTCACCGACGACTGGAGAGCCAGAGGGAGGTGATGTCTGGGCGATGAGGAAGGCGCAGCTCGAGCTCCGCCAAGCCGAAATGCTGGAAGCTTTGCACGTCCTCAAGCAGTTGAATGTGGGAGAAGGAGAGCAGCTAAGCCTGAGCAGTATGAGAGGCGGAGCGAAAGAGCGCACCGCCGCAGAACTCCCCAAGTGGCAAGGGCGCCTAGGTGTGGACCAGCCATGGGCATTAGGCCACAGCTACGGCGCTGGCACTTGCATTGAAGCCATTCGCAAAGCAGACTCTCCTTTCGCCAGATCATTGATTCTTGACCCTTGGGTAGAGCCCATACCCAAGGCGAGCGCCGATAGCTCCATGTCGATCAAAAGGCCGCTTTACGTCATCAACAGCGAAGCATTCACAATCTGGAGGTCGCACATGCAGGATGTTCGGGAGCTGGTCTCGGACGCCAAACGAAATGCTGGCAGCGCTTGGCTCTTGACGCTGTGAGTGCTGCATGACTCAGCTCCACGCATGAGTGGCCTAGCTCACCAAGTACGACGGGATCTTCTTAGCACGGGCTCGAAGCACACAGATTTCAGCGACTTTCGTGAGCCTGTAGGATGTGCACGCGAGCTACCTCATCCTTGCTTACTAAACCTTTTGCCGAATGCCTCCTTTTCCTCTTTTCACATCCTGTTGTCGCAGCTTTCCTGCTGCCACGGCTGTTTTCCTCTTCTGTGCCTCCCGCAGATGCAATGAAGATCTTCGCCAAGGCAACCTGTGCTCAGTTCGCTGCCTCTCACCAAGATCAGGACGGGTCTGATGCATCTAGATCCGAGGAAGCTTTCTTCGAAAGTACGACGCCAAAGCCAAGAGAGGAGCTGCCTGGGGAAGTGGAGAACAAACAGCTTGGTCCGCCCGGAGTGTTGATACGTCACACGTTATCTGTGGCGAAAGAACAGACTCCCCACCTTTGATACAGACATCTGCATTTGCCCATAATTTCCGCTTTGATAGAGACATGTACACATCATGAGCGAGGCTGTGGGCTGCGCTGCTTTATAAACA